GAATACTCTGGGACTCTCAACTCCTTAGTTGATACTGAGGAAGTATCGGATGACGGCTGGACTACTTTTGTAAGCCATAACAAGAAGAAGTACATGCAAGCTGAAGCTCTAAGAAGAGTCGGGTTGAAGAAGCTCGAGATGGGGTTATCCCACGTAAGCATAACTGTGGAGGCTCCTCCCACACCTCGAAATGTTACGAACCGGGGTAAGAAGACAAAGAAGGGAAGAAACGGAGGCCCCCATTCAACAATACAGCCTCATCCTACTTTGAAAGACTTTATGTCCAGACCCTTGATGATGAACGATCTTCATGAGTCGAAGGTACCAGATGAAGTCCTTCTGGGAACTACTATCAATGTGACTTAGGTGGTCGAGGCTGAATCCAAGCCCCAAACCATGCAGTTGGAGTTGAGATCCGACAAGAAGACTGCATAGATTAAACCACCTAAAGCCACTGCTCCTAAGAAGGTTATGCCTATGGCGGAGATGCGGGCCGAAGCATATAATGTTGCTGAACATTCAAAACAACCAATAGATGGAAAGACTAGTGATTACAATGTGGCTTTTCATTTAAGGAGAATCCCAACCGCCATAAGTGTCTATGATGCTCTTTTACTTTCAAAATAACTTCGGGCTGCTTTGATACAAGCCCTCTCATCTCCCGAAAAAATTTAAGCCAAAGTTGACCAGGTTGAACTTGACCCGGCAGTTCTGCTTGGCACTATGCCAGTCACCTTTTCTGACATAGATCTACAACTAGGGACAAAGCCCCATAATCACCCTTTGATGGTGGAGGGAATGTTACACAATGTGCACATCAATCGAATAATGATCGATGGTGGATTAGCAGTAAATCTACTTCCCCTAAGAACGTTGAAGTTTGTAGGGAAGGATGTTCATAACTTGCAGGAAGGGCACATGGTGGTACAAGATTTCAACCAGGCTACTCAATAGGCTGTCGAGAGCATTACATTGAAGCTCAAAACTAGCAAGTTGAAGTCTATGTGACATTTCAGGTCATCGAAACCGAGACATGCTACAATGTGTTGCTAGGGAGCCCATGGTTACATGACAATAGTGTCATCCTCTCGACTTTGCATCAATGCTTCAAATATTTTCATGAAGGGAAGTAGCATTGTGATGACCCTAATTTTTTTAAAAAAAATTGAAATAATAATAATAATAATAACAATAATTTCATATGTTGGTCTTGTGGACCATTTACATAGTTTGGTCCAAAAGGACCACTCTTTCTTTTTGCTTCTTTTAATTTTTTTTTTTTTTGGGTAAGTCAGTAGGGGAATAAGTAAGAAATAATAAGCTTACAGCTCATTACCGTATAACCCTAAAATAGGGCACCTGTGCCAAATCATGAGTTAAAGCAAGGCAAATAAAATTCGACAGACGCGAACGCTAAAAAGTAGCTCCTTGATAAGATGTAGCCCTCTTTGCAAGAATATCAGCTACCATATTGGCTTCACGATGTGGGAAATGGGCCACCCACACTTAGAAAGACATTGTCAACAATTTACTGCGTATGTAACTTTCATGGAGGTCAGGAGAGTTCATGAATAACATTAACGAGCAATGCTGAGTCACTTCAATCTGAATAGGGTAGCACTGTAGCTAATTAGCTAGGATTAATCCTTCTTCCAAAGCGCAAAATTTCGCATTATTATTAGAAGTGATTCCAAAAGGTTTGGCAAATGCTGCACTAAAAGCACCATCAAAATTCCTAATGACATCACCTCCCCCTGCTTGGCCTAGGTTATGCAAGGAAGCCCCATCAATGTTTATCTTGAAGTGATTAGGGCTAGGAAATGACCATGCCACTGGAATAGTAATTTTATCTTCATGATACCATTTGAATTGTAAGTTATCAATGATCACCTTTTCTAACAAATGAAATGTCGAAGATTTAGCATCAACTAATTCCCGAACAAGAAAAATGATGTGTTTGACTAATTATTCCCTTCTGGTCAACCTACCATGGAAAACTCTTCAGTTGCATCCTGCCCATAAGTACCATATAGTTGTGAAGAATAAAGAAGTCCATATATTGAAGAAACCATTTGATTTGCATATGAATGATAACCATTTTCTCAACATCATAGGAATAGAAATGCCAGAGATGAAGCGCGTACCGCATCGCCAGGCAACCGACTTCCATATAGCCTGCAAAAAATCACAAAGAAATAATAGATGACATAAACTAGCATCAATATTTTTACAAAATGGGGATACATGAGGAGCCATAGCAATCCCACGCTGCTGCAAGAGAGAAGTAACCGATAATGGAGGGCCAACCAAGAAAACCATTTTACTTGGGGGTGACATTTTGCTAACCACAATGATCTAAATATCAGCTGAGAAGTTTCCTTGTTACGAATAAACTCCCAAGCTTCTTTAGTTGAGAACAAACTACTCGTATAATTAATCCATGCCAGAAAATCCCTATGTGGCTGTAGTGGAAGAAAAGTGCTCTGAATATCCTTCTATATCTATGTCAAAAAACCTGACATAGGTAGGCGTAAAACTCAAGATTGAGGAACACCTCCAAAATAATTAGAGACCTTTGGCATAGCAACCTCAAGGTCTTGATGAACAATTGTACCATAAGAGTCCCACATTGACTTTTTGATAACCATGAGTCACAAGCCGATCATCACCAATAACCCATCGGACATTATCCTTCAAATGAGATTAGCCCGAATCGAATACCCTTCCAAGCGTAAAATGAGTATCTTTTGTAGTTTGTCTCCCATATGTTCGAATACCCATCAGACATTATATTTTGCTTCTTTTAATTGGCTTGTTAGGTCTTCTCTTTTTTTACTCTATGATGTGGCAGATTTTTATTCAGGTATGTTGGCTTCTTGACACATCCACTATGATGTGTATGCTATGCCATCTTCCATTGCATGTGTGAAGGACGTATGCACTATGAGGTGTTACCCTCTTAATCATGTTACATACACCCCACCATTCCCTTTACCTGCAACTCACTCTCTCTCTAGACCTGATGGGTCATCTCACCTTCATTCCTCATAAACTTTTCCCTCAATCCAATTGCATGGTCAAATAATATCATCACATAGAGCAATTGACTAGGGACCAAACCTTCTTTTACTTTATGATGTGGCACAATTACCTTATTGCAGGGTAGTACAATACAATTTTTTCTAGGCCTTCTCCCTCACTGATTTACCAAAAAAAAAGAAAAAGAGTTCCGAACTAAGACAAAAACTTGCCCTAAGTTTGAAAATCATAACAACAAACAATATTTATATATCTTGGTTCAAGTAAATTTTAACAATGCCAAATCACTAAAATTTCTTTGACTATTCTAATTTTTAAATCCCAACAATATTTTTTAGTAAGAAAACATTTTTTGGATTTGGAATTTGAACAAAATAATAATGAGGATATTTGTGTCATTTAGTTAAGCACCTAAGTGGGTCAAATGACAATTGCCTTAACAAGAGAGGGTTGCAATATTGGACATGCATACATGAAAGGAGTTTTTAGAAGGGAAAAGTTTATATAGAGCCGAGGCTCTAAACCATCAAATTGGGGCCCATCTCAAAAGGTTCACTAGAAGATGTTGTTTTGATGCCCAAATATCCTCAAATTGATCATCGACATCAAGATGCATGGACATGAGAAAAAAAAATAGATTTCAAGTTTTGGAAATAGTGTATTCTGTAATACATTTTTGGACAGTCAATTTTCAAGACTTTCAAGTTTTCATAGATTTGTCAATCTACAATATTTTTTGAAGCTTAAAGATTTATAAATAAATTTGAAAATATATTTTAAGCTTATCATAAAGATTTCTAGTATTGAAACCATATTTCTTAGCACTATTTGAAGGTAGGCTCTAATTTAATTGTTTAGAGTCTAGGCTCCATACAAACCGCATCCCTGTTTTAGAAAGTATTTGTATATAAAAAAAACATCAAAGTGGTTCATAACTATTTGTTACGGACCGTTTGATTTCTTGTAAAGATGAAAGGATAGATCAAAGTAATCCAGAATTGCTAGATGCAAACCCCTCACTAAAATTGAGTGAGTATTTAGGAACTACTAGTTTCGAAATACATATCTTTTAAAATTTTTTGAAAAAAAACACAAAATAAAAGACATATATGTAGAACATTAAGTAAGCTACTAGGAATTAGGGGTAGCAATGGGTCGGGTCCAACTGGACCTGAATCCGGACCCCAATAGATTTGGGTCTAGGTTTTGGACCTGGACCCAGACCCGAATAGATTTGAGTCCAGGTTTTGGACCTGGACCCAACCCTCCAAAAAATGGACCCATACCCGTACCCTTTGGGTCTCAGGTCTACCTTGTCGGGTCTTAGGTTCATTGTCACCCTCACCATAATCTTCTTCTTCTTTTTTTTCTGCCTATTTTTCTATCATCATATACCTGTATTATTGGCAATAAGGTCACAATCACCCGCAATTAGATTTGAAGACGTGTGATTTGCGGTTTAATAGCTAAAGATGACTATTAGTTCTAATTATGTATGATCCTTAATACACCCAAATGAATAGGGTTTAAAGTAAAATATTTTATCAACCGTTTACAGGTACGGGTACAGGTCGGATCAAGCTGGACCCGGATCCGGACTGATATAGTGTTCAGGTCCAAGTTTTGGACCTGAACCCAACCTATCGAGTCCAAATCTAGAGCCATACCTGATCCGTGTCCAATATACCTTACGGGTACTGGGTCGGGTCTCGATCAATTTCCACCCCAAATAGAAATTAATGGTTCTTAATGAGAGGCATTATGGAAAATGAAAAACAATACTATGAGATTTCACATCTTCCAACAACCATATAAACAATAAAATACCAGCATTAATTTCTTTTATTTTATTTTTTATTTTTATTTTTATTTTTTATGATGTTAAGTAAATGATTTAGTTTACACGCCAATGAGCAGGTGTAAAGTAATGAAGAAAATAGAAGAGCCAAGCACCTAAAAAAAAACGAACAAACTAAAGCAAGATGTCGTTCTCTCCTTTTCACACCCATAGAAAAAGTCACCCAAGCCTCTCCACAGATTAGCAAAGAAGACGAGGCCTATTTATTTTTGCAGTTTTACTTCTCTCCCTGTCAAAATGTCACATTTCTAAGTCCTTCACAGCTTCATCTTCCTCTCTCTGAACCCAAGTTCTTATCTCTCATCTTTCACTTTCCTCCTCTTAATTTCAAGATTCTTGAGTTCTCTTGATTTCCTTTTTGCCCTAAGTTATTCTCTTCTTACTCGAGTTCTTATCTTTTTTCTTCCTTTAAATTCTCAAACCATCTTCTGTTTGGTCTCTCTGGCTCTGAATCACATAGATACAGTAAAATCTCTTGAATTCTTCTGTCAAGTCTCTTGAATTCTTCTGTGACTACAAAGGTTTAGTTTCAGGAAGGCATCCTTTCCTATTCAGTTTCACACTCGTACTGTTTGTGAAAAATCAGGTAGATCCATCATCGCATCCTTCAATTTTGTTTTGTTTCACATTTTGAATTGCTTGGATCCACTCAGATCTCTAGATTGGGGTCAACAAGAAGGGCAGTCAACAAAATAGATGGCAATACAGAGAAGACCAACAGACGCCAAGAAAGATGGAAGAGGAGCTAAGGATTTGTGCCTCCTTTTTTTTGGGTGAGGCATGTGATTCTTCTTATTTTGGGTAATATCTATCTTAATAGACTTTATCCCTAATTGCAAATCCACACTTTCTCTCTCCTTCTCTCTACCATTAAGAGATTCAACCATACCATGGATTTCCGTCTCATTGTTAACTACTAAGAATATCGGAAATGTGCGTGTATAATATTGTCTTTCCTTGTTCATTTGATATCATAAAAGCTATCATGCAGGTTGAGATGGTTGTGATGTAAAGATGATCACAAGAAAACATCTGTCTAAGAGGGTGGCGTTCAAATTGGTGGTCTCACTACGAGCTAAACACGAAAGTAGTGAGACGGATTGCCGATCTGTTGATAAAACCCTATGCCAAAATTATTATCAAGAAGTCTGAAGATTTGCTCCTTGCGATTATTATTGTCTCCAATGAGTAATGGGACAGCGTGTGAGAGTGAATGAACTTGCAGCTTGCATTCAATGAGGTATGAGTAAATACCTACTTATTCTTTTAAAGTTCAGTTCAGGTATGATATTTGGAAATTTAGTTATGTTCATTTGAATGACATGTTGTGATCGTTTGAATGACATGTTGGTGAGTATTATTTTCTCAAACCGCACACTGTTTCCATAGGATTATTTTCAAGGCGGACACATTACTCCTAACGATGCATGTACTTTGATTGGAAGCCTTAAAACTGCATGCATGTTAGAAAATAGTTGCGATGGTGACAAGGTGAAGATGCATGACATGATGCGAGGACTAGCAATATGATTTTGTTGGGGCAAGGTCCAAGTTTTTAATGCATTTACTTGAATGCAATATCTCTAGAGGCCATTCCAACAATTTCTTTGAATGCATACATGTCGTTTGTATACTTCGAGTCAAATAAATGTTGTGGCAATCCCAGTTTTCTGGTCATATTCAGTGAATCTCTTCTGCATGAATATATTTGTAAATTAAATTATAAATACCGGGAAGAGTTAACCATAGAATTTGAAGAGTTCCAACAACTCCAAGTATTGGACCTAAAGAACTCTGACCGAAACTCTTAAATGCGCCAGAATCCCACCTAGGGTGTTTCCTAAACAAGCTAAGAGAGTCGGCCTACTTGATCTGCTTAAAATATGTGAATTTTGTTATGAATCATGCGATCAATGGTGATTGCTTCAAGCCTCTAGTTATGAGACATTTGGAATTAAGCAAATGCACTGTGACAAAAATGCCTTGGAGATATTTGAAATTAAGCAAAGGCTTAGCATACAACATTGTATGTTAGGTAATCCATGACTTTTATGGGTGATTCTCAAAAACTCCTTAACAAGAAAGAAAACTAGACTGTTGGAATAGGGTATGGATGAGATGTTGAAAATATGGAGATGAAGATGACATGGATTAAGAAAAATAGAGCTACAATGCCTCCCCAAATTTTATGATACATGTGACCATTTCTTGAACTGATCATCATTAGAGGTGATGGTTATGGAGTAAAAATCTCCCTCTAGGTGTTAGCAGGGTAGAAAGCCCAGATATTTTTATAAAGAATGGTGGGAAGGACAAAGCAACGACTCCCTTCTCTAACCGAATTATTAGATCATTTTGAGAACCAGGAAGAAAATGAGACTAAATCCGGCTTCATCGGGGAGGAAGAGGGTGAGACTGAATCAGATTTCATCAAGAAGTAACAAGAGAGTGGTCCAAAAGGCAGGATTTTGAAGTGGCAAAAGAAAGGGTTGATGGCCTACAGCCCTCTGATCAAAGACAACCGCGATTCGAGCTGCATGCATTTCTTTTAAGTGAATGTAACGCACGCCAATTGTATCGAATCACCAAACTAGTTTCAATAGTACATTCCATCCTTGAGTTTTTTAATACAAGAATGTTAATGGCCCCTGTTTCATTGCTTTGTAGGAGCTCCTTAATTTTGCAAGTTGGATCTCTCTCTCTATGTGTGTGTGCGGCCGTGGGTAGGGTTCTGTAAACACAAGTACACTACTTTTATTTCAATGCCTAAACATTTCATCTATGTACAAATGATAGTAACATGTATAAGATTTTGGTGCTAACATTTCATCAATGTACAAATTATGGTAACATGTCTAAGAATTGGTGCTATGGAATCCTTGCACAAGGAGGGTAGCATAGAACATGATAATTCATGGAGTACAGATGGTATAAGTCCTGAAAATTTAAAATTCGAATACCCCTTCATGTTGGAAGTAATCACATTTGGAGCTTTGCAAGCTCAATGTGGAAATCGTTTCCTCTCTGTGAGATTAAAAACAGAGAATTCTCTAAAGCCTGAGCACAGGGTCTCCAGAGAGAGCAAGAATAAATCAAAGGTTGCTATGGCCGTGGCCATGGCTTTTTAATGAAGGGGATTCAACAACATTGGACCCAAAAAAGGAAATTGGGAAAAATAGCTGATCGAAGTTCAAACGGAAGATTGAATACTTTCCACTGCTTTTAAAGTCGGCTTGGGCCTTGAACTCGTCCAACTTAGTAACTCGGCCAAGTGCCGAGCAATGTACAGTCCCTGAAAGTAGAAATATCTTTCCCGAACTCGACCAAGCCAGTTCCCGGACTCAACCAAGCTGGTTCCCGGACTCGACCAAGTTTTCAATCACTGGTTATTTCATTCACTTAAATATAAATATCTTTCCTCATTGACAAGCAAGAGTTTTTAGTGGGAGTGTTAAAATGATTAAAGTGCATTTTTTTAAAATCATTTGGTTTATTTTATTTTATTTTATTTTGAATGATGTCGATTATATTTGTAATTGTACAATAGAAAATTATGGACCTAATAGGTGATTAATAGTTATCACAGTAAATAGGTAGTTATTATTGTAAGTAGGTAGTTATTGTAGGAAATTAGATTGTAAAATCCTCTATTTAAAGAAATGTGTGTATTAGGAAAATTGAGTCTAAAAAGTGAGTCTTATATATCAAGTTTGTAATGTTGTTATGTACCTCAATTTTTTTTTGAATAAAAAATTATTTTCTTTCACCTCATATCATGGTGAGTCTTGTCTTAAGCTAGTGTGATTTACAGTAATTGAAAAGCAGATTGTTTTAGTATCGTGTCATCCATATTTCTCGACTGAAAATTCTAACACAACAAGGATTAGTGCTAGGATTATTTTTGCTCTTATAATGTCTAAAGACCTAATTGAAATGAGAGATTTGTGTAATCAAACATCAAGGCCTACAACAATGAAAAACAACAAATGAGTAGCTGATGGGAAATGGGCAAGGGCAAGGGCAAGGTTTTTTCCAAGAAAATCTATCATTGACCGTTAAATCGAAACCCCAAAAAATGGTGAATGTTGTAACATTATGTGAAAAATCAATTATCAATAATTCTTAGATCCGTCAAATCTAAAAAAAAATTGGAGCTTTAAATTTTTAATTAAAATATTTCTGAAAAATTATTAAATTATATATACGATATAAACCATTTAACATTTACCTATTTTTTATTTAATTTTAAAAAAAGCCTATCAAAACACACGACCATAAGTTTGAAATGTTGAAAATAGGCAGGGTGTTAAACAACTGTTCCTAGGCCTTATATAAACCACATGGGATAATTTGTTTTTTACTTCTTCAGGGGTGCGGTTTGTATATAGTCCAGGTTCTAACAATCAACTTAGAGCCAACCTTTAAATGGTGGTGAGAAATGTGGTTTCAATACTGGAAATCTTTGTGATAGCTTTATAATATATTTTTATCTTTTTTTTATAAAGTTTAAAGCTTCAAAAATATTGTAGATCGACATATCTATGAAAATTTGTAAATCTTGAAAATTGACAGCCCAAAAATGCGTTACAAAATATACTATTTTCAAAACTTGAAATCTATTTTTTTTTCACTTCCATGCTTCTTGATGTTGAGATGATCAATTTGAGGACATTTGGGCATCAAAACAATCCCTTCTAGTAAAATTTTTGAGGTGAGATCTAATTTGATTGTTTAAAGCTTAGGCTCTATATAAATTTTTCCCTTTTTTTCAAGCACTTGTAATGACGGTTTGACCTCGTTTTGTTGTCCCTACACTTTCCTACTAACATCCATAAAGTTTAAAATCGATCTATAAATTGCTGACTATAAATTGTTGAACACTTTGCATTTTATGACCCATTTGGTTTCTTGGATTCAGATTTCTAGGAGTCAATTTTTCTGAAAAAACTGGGCACTAATATTTGGTTGGTTTAGGATTGACATTTATGTTGGAATTGAGATTTATATGGGATTCTGAATATTTATTTTAGCCTAAATTTTTAAAATCTATATTTCACCAAATAGGTGGAATTGATATTTCATGAAAACGACCCATTTTGCTGCCGAAGAACAAAAAGAAACTCAAAATTTTACAAAGGGAAACTATATCAAATTTTAGAAAAAAAAAACATATTAAAATTTTAGAGAAAGAAAATATATCAAATTTTAGAGAGAGTATATGAAATTTTTTAAAGAGAAAATATACAAATTTTTTTAGAGAAAGAAACTATCTCAAATTTAAAATTTTAGTAAGACTATATTAAAATTTTAGAGAGAGAAACAATCACAAATCTTAAAATTTCGAGAGAAAATATATTATAGGGAACTTGAAATCACAACAAGATTTCCGTTCTTCATGCTCTTTTTCCCAACTGCTGTATTGGTTCTTGTGGTTTTTATCACTAGAAGTGAGCGTTGAAGCCCATGCATCGGTGGATTGGAAATCAAGTCTTGAAAATTACGCATTGTTCAATGAGACCAGCCATTGCACTTGCATTGGATTGGTATTCGATGCGACGATGGTGGAAGCATTACTGAGATTAGCTCTCGAGTTTCGCGCTCTCTCGAACTCTCAATCATCTTAACTCCGAATCGTTGCATTATGTGTTTCTATTATTTTAATTAAAATATATAAATACTGAGAACGTGCTTCATTTCTAAGTATTTGTTGACTATTACATTCATTAGTCAAAATAAAGCTTTTAAAATGCGTAATCAAATAGATATATAAGAACATAATTAAAAAAACTTACAGCATTGTCAAGTATTAAAAATCGAGTGAAAGCATAGTCAAGTATAAAAAAACAAGTTACTTTACAGAATGACACTCGCATATATATTGAGGCTCATTTAGCCGACCCAAAGATTTGGCCCAACTCACTAAATTATGTGAATATCAAAATGATAAATATTTTATTAAAATTTTCACCATGCCTAGAAATTAAGAGGTCGACGGCCTTTTGATTGTATGATAATTTTTCCTTTTGTTCTCTAGTTTTTTTTATTTTTTCTTAATGTGTTTTCGTGGTGTTTTAAAGAGGGAAATTGCCTGAGTTTATTATTTTTATATTTAATCTTGTATTTGCCTGATGCTCTATTATATGGATTCTGTCTGCTTTTTTTTTTTCTTTTTTGCAAAATTTCGGGTGTGAAATTTTTATGGTGAATAGGGTAGTATCCAGGTTTATTTGTATAGTATTTGGTGAAACTTTTGGTCGTTTATTTAAGAGATTATCTATAAAGAGGTCATTTACTTTTTGTACAAAGATGTCACAACTACTTACACTCATTAGATGTTAAATTGGATGACTTAGGGTGCGTCAGGAAGTTCCAATCATTACACTCTTACGACGACTCATTTTGAAATCTAAGGGACAAGAATGATTGTGACCACTTTGTACAAAAGAAAAACATGGTCTCTTTGTATATAATCCTTTTATTTAATTTACGGGTTCTTATTTTCTCGGATCTTGAAATTAAAAGTAGTAGTAATGATGTGTTTCTTAACAAAAGAAACTATGTATTGAATTCGTTTAAAAGATTTGGTATGGAAAATTGCATACCCATCTCAATTTCCCCATAAACAAATCATAAGTAGATGGCCAATATTTGAAAAGTGCTTTTCAAAGTTATACTGTATAGGAGGACTTTGGGTAGGCTTATCTCCATAATAATTCATAGGGTAATTATCTATTCTATTGTGGGAACCGTAAGCCAATTTATGGAGTTCCCATGAAAACCTCATTTGGAAGAAGAAAGAAAATGTCTTTGATGTGCTAAGGGTTTTAATCGCTTCAATTTTGAGGCATGACTCACCTAATCCGATTCGTGTGACTTCAATTTGGATTAAGCTATATATGAAAATCGCTATTTAAAAATTAGATCTCCGCTCCCAGAATTTTAAGATTGCGATCTCGAAAAATAGATTGCATGTTGAGTTGTCGAGTGTGCCCGTGCCCATGATCCATCAGGGTCTACCCTAACATACCAATCTTGAAATTTATTATTTTCAATTTCATATATCCTTGGTTGTGGTTTCTATAAGGTTGCAACCTTAAACAATCCAATTAAGATGCACCACCAAATTTTATCTATGTCATGTAAATTTGGTGTAAAAAAATTCTTAAGATTATTTGAAAATCGATTTTCATATCTAATTAAATACTTTTAAACTCCAAAAAAGGTTAAAATCATGTAGATCTATAAACATAAGAAAATTTACTGGGGATGTCCCACGGCCCAAATTAAATCTGGGCCAATCTGACGGTCACGAATGTCCGATAGTGTTTGAATTTTAATTTTTTTTCTACAAATCCAAATCACTTGAAATTTTAGGCGTGTGCTCTTCAAAAATAGGAAAATTTATGAAAAATATATAAAAAAACATTTTACATGAAATAAATTGACCAAAATACCCCTAAAAAGTTCTGAGGGGTATTTTATTCAATTATTTTTTTATATTTTTATTAGGTGTACCTTGATGAGAAGAACACACGCCTAAAATTTCAAGTGATTTGGATTTATAGAAAAAGAAAAATTAAAATTCAAACACTATCGGACATTCGTGAGCGTCAGATTGGATGACCCAGATTCAATATGGGTCATTCGCGTATGAGCATACAACAATGAGTCATATATATATATATATGAAACAGCCGGGATTAGCCCACTAGCTCATATGAACATGAGCTTAACGGTCCAGATTGAATTTGAGATGATTTGACGATCATGGATGTTTGTTAGTATTTGAATTTTAATTTTTTTTCTATAGATTCAAATCACTTAAAATTTTAGGTGTGCGTTCTTCTCATCAAGGTGCACCGAATAAAAATATAAAAAAAATTATTCGCAAAAAACAAAATGATCAAAATACCTCCGAAATTTTTTGGGGTATTTTGGTAAATTTATTTAATGTAAAGTAGTTTTTTTGATATTTTTCAAAGATTCACCTTTTTTTTATGAACACACGCCTAAAATTTCAAGTGATTTGGATTGGTAAAAAAAAATTTAAAGTTCAAACACTAACAAACAGCTGTGAATGTCAGATTGGCCCAGCTCCAAGCTGAGCCATGGGGCTCATATGAATTCATATGTTCATATGAGCTGGTGGGCTAATCTCATCTTTTTCCATATATATATATATAATACGAACTAACATAATAAGAAATTTATAACAATTTCATGTAATAACAACTTTATACAAACTGTTTGGATAACATCATTTGAAAGCTAAACAGTAAACAGAAAACTTACATACAACTGCGAGAGACTGATAACAAACTTATAACATACTGTGTACAGAAATAAAAACTTACAGAGTACAAATGCAGAAACTGCAAAAAGACTTCCACTCGGGTGGACAGTGCCTTGATAGAGACTTGTAGTGACAATCACACATTACACATACTAAAACTAATATTTACAAGAGAAGAGAAAAGAAGAAGAAGGCAGGAGAAGAGTATTCTTCTGATGAGCTTGCTAACACCTAGGGATCTTCGGATATCCTGCAAATGAGGAGAGTCCTCGTATTTATAGGCTTCGAACTCCAAGTAATTATCCATTAGGATGCATTCCGGACTTCAATTTATTTGGATGGATGGCTACGGGTGGTACGGCGAGATTCACTTCAACAGATGGATGGCGACAGGTGGTACAGTGAGATTCGCTGGAGGGTGAAATGGTTGGTGGCTTTTATTGCGTGGGAAGCTGATTGGACCGCTGCTGCACGGATGGTCTTCAAAAAGTAAGGGAATCTTTACTGTAGCTATTTGAAAATTTTGTCTTGTATGATGACTTAGGCATTTATTGTCATATCGATGTCGGTGGGGAATGGTGACTAGGCATCAGCAGGCATCTCGAGTCACTTCAAAGGCATCTTTGGTCTTGTCATAGCAGCTTTGGCATCTTTGGTTATATCAAAGGCATCTTTTATCTTTTCAACAACATCTTATGTCATATCACAGGTAAAGGTGTGTATGCTTTATCTGATATGGGCTTAGTATAATGATTGCTTCTGAGACATGCCGTGAGCAGATGTATCTCCTTCAGTGGCATCTGTTTCTATAGCTGTTTCTGCCTCTTCTGTAAAAATCTCATATAGCTGTTTCTCAAGTTCAGCTCTAGTGGCTTGAGGATTGTGTTTTCTTATGTGGGATATATACTTAGATAAATTATTTGGGTTAAAATAGGAAGAAGGTTTGAAACTAGTTGAGACTTGTTTCAGTATAATATGCTCTGGGTATAGATTGTGGTAGACAAAAACATCCCACCACTTTACAGCAATCTGCTTTCCGAGACATGGAATATATTCATAATTATTTATATTGTTATCATATATAGCAAATGACCATTTGAGAATCCAAGGTATTTGATAAAAAGCAACAAAATATAAATGATAGTTTATTTTGGGATCTTTCCCATTATGCTCAATGAATTTTTCTTGAGAGGCTTGCAAGGTGTCTTGCATTATTTAGGATAGAGATCCCAAATTGTGAACCAATTTAAGAACCAATTAGGAGCAGGTTCGGTTACCACCATTTTGAATTGGAGGAACCATGTATGGGATTTATATTGGTTTTGGATAGTAAGTATGTGATGCCAGGCATCAATATAATCAGAGTATCGATAATGCTTATTTGGGAAATCAGGAGATTGTAATTTTTTGAAGCGTGAAGAGTTTGAACCCCATTCACTGGAATTCAATATTTTCCGTATCTGCATTTTTGAATATGATATCATGTTTGAATTCTTATGATAATAATGAGTTAGATATATGGAGCATGTCTCAAGTAAAATCATTTCAAACCACTCTCTGGTTTTCATACCATTAGAGGGGTTCAGGTTATTGCACAGGCAATATTTGGCTACCGTATTTGGGTCTTCTGAAGCATGTATAGCATCTGCAATATTTTCATATGGCGATTTGTTTGTGGTTGTAGGCTTTCTAATAGTTGGAGATTGTATGAATAATGGAGTTTGAGAAGATAATGGTGCTTGGCTAGAATATTGTGGATAATTTGACGGACTATTTAGGATGCTAGGTGAATATGGGGTCAGGCTTCTGTTTGGAGATTGTACAGGGACAATATCTAATGATGTTTCCATGGGAGTCTTCTTTTTGGATCGTACAGTATTAATATTCATGATTTGATTCTCAATCGCATATTCTTATTGAATAATATTAAAGGTAAAGATAATTCAGGTGGATCAAAGTGATCAGTGTTGCCCTCCCTGCAAAAATTCACGAGTGAGAAAATCAGGAAGATGGTTTGCAGAACTTTTTAACTATTTAATTGAAAAAGTCGAATGAAGAGAGAATGGTTGCCAACGAGCAAATATCTGTTTTGATACCAAATTTTGCACATCTTTTTCAAGAATATCTTTTGTAGCTTTGCAATCAGTACGAATAAGAAAATGAGTATTTAATATATCACTTTGGAATTTAGTGACATAATGGACAATAGCAAGAAGTTCTTTTTTAACAGTAGAATAATTTTGTTGAGTAGAATTTCATGCTTTAGATGTATATCGTACTAATTGCTCAGTGGTATTGATTTTTAATTTTAATATACCTCCTAATCCTAATTCAAAGGCATCACATTCAATGATTTTGAAAGTATTTAGGATGGGCTAAAGTCAAGCAAGGCAATTCTTTTGCTTTGAGTTTAATCGTTTTTACAGCTTGAGTATGTTCATTTGTCCATTTAGGTGGATTCTTTTTGAGTCTATCATATAAGGGTTTAGCATCTAATGCTAGATTTTCATAAAAATCAACAATATAATTTAAACAACCTAAGAATCCTTGTAATTCAGCTTTATCTAATATAATATCTGGAAACTTATCAGCAGATTGAATAGATCTTTCTATTGGGATAATTGTTCCATGATAAATATGATGTCCTAATCTTTGTTTGACATATATTAATCTTTTTGGCAGAGACTACTAGTCCTGCATGTTTGACTGCATTAATAAAAACATTAATATGTTTGAAATGTTGATTTATATTTTCAGAGAATACTAAAACATCATCAATATATACAATCATGAATTTGTAATATGGATTGAATACTTCATTCATAATTTTTTGAAATTCTGATGGAGCATTTTTTAGTCCAAATGGCATCACATTCCATTCATATTGTCCGAATGATACATTAAATGTAGTTTTATATTTATCCTCTTCTTTTATTTGTATTTGCCAATAACTTGATTTTAAATCAAATTTAGAAAAGATTGTGGCAGTAGCCCATCGATCTAATAGGTCTTTTTTATTTGGGATTCGAAAATGATTTGTTATGTACGAGAATGATTTTTTTTTAGGGATCCAAAAATGATTTGTTATATACGAGAATGGTATTTTCGTTATAAAAAGATAAACTTTTTATATTGAGGGTATTTGTTAGGAAATATGGTTTTTAGGGGGAAGTTGCCAGAGAAAAGTGAGGTATTTGCTAGGAAACATCGATTTTAAGGGGAAATTGCTTGAAAAAGTCAGGTGGGAGTAAATTGATAGAGAGTCTATCTTGGGGGGTTTTATGCAAAATTTTCAAAATGGTATTGGCTGTGGGGGTGGTTTTCCTTAAAACTACCCATTACATAATTTGTTTTTTGGAATTGTTTATAAAGAGACGATTTATCTTTTGCACGTTATATGTCAAATTGGATGGTTTAAGGTGAGACAAAGTTCGAAAATAAAAAATTTTTCTTTTTTTTTTTTGTTTTTTTTTAGGTTTTTCAAGAACTAAAAAATTACTTGAAAAACCTAAAAAAAAAGGAAAAAAAAAGAAAAAAAAAAATTCTCGGACTTTCTTGAAAAACCTAAAAAAAAAGAAAAAAAAAATTTCTCGGACTTCATGACTCACCTTAAACCATCCAATTTGACATGTAATGTGCAAAAGATAAATCGTCTCTTTATAAACTTTAGTTCTTCATAAATTCACACCACAAACTCATATTTAATATTTTATAGATTACTTATTCGAACTGATCTGGATCGCCAAGCTAGAATACATATGTGGGATGACCGATCACCCCATCGATGTGGGATGTGAAACACTTGCTCATCTACTTACTAGGCTATCCCATGCAGCTTATCACACTCTTAGAAAGGGGATTAGTTCTAATAGGAGTGTAGGGGTTTTTGGCCAGAAAACCTTTGTTGTTTGGATTTTGATTTCCGTCTTTTCTCTTTCCTATTTTTTTTTTTTTGTGTATTTAGGTACTCATATTTTTGTACTCGGATTGCTGCTCTGCTAGGTTAAAAGAAGTAACTAGAGGGGGATGGGATTGAGGTCGTGGTGGTAGTACCACTTGAGCCTCAACTACCGGTCTAGATTCCCATTACTACTTACACATTAAAAAACCACTAATGATTTCTAAAAATGAATCGAGGTGTGTATTCCCCACTGATCTATCCAAATAATAATAATAATAATAATAATAATAATTAACGTAATGACTATTATCCTCCATATATTGATGAAACAAGCCCTATGAGCGTTACCGAGTGAAAGAGCTATTAGAGCTTGTTGGAGCTAACTTAGTTTGTGACGGTGTGCTGGACCGCTCTCGTCTTGGCCTACAACTAGGCTTTGTCTAGACCATGTGGACCGGCGTAATGACTATTATCCTCCATATATTGATGAAACGGGCCCTGTGAGTGCTACGAAGTGAAAGAGATATTAGAGCATGTTGGAGCTAACTTAGTCTATGACGGTGTGCTGGACCGCCCTCGTCATGGCCTACAACTAGGCTTTGGTTAGACAATGTGGACCAACGTGTTGGGCTGGTTAAGCTTAGTCCCTATTATGCGCATTGCTAAAAGAGTAAGAAGGAGATATTAGAGCTTGTTGGAGCTAACTTAGTCTATGACAGTGTGCTGGACTGCCCTCGTCTTGGCCTACAACTAGGACTTGGCTAGACCATGTGGACCAGCGTTTTGGGCTGGTTAAGCTTAGTCCCTATTACGCGTATTGTTAAAAGAGTTAAGGTTTTAAAAATAGTCAATTCGGATCAGACAGGAAATATCTAGACAGGAAAACGACGTCTCAATATTCATGTATTTTTGTAAAATAATAAAAATACATAATGTATCATCCCCAATTTTTTTTAAACTCAATTTTTAGGATTTTTTGAAATTCTTTTATGCTGAAACTCGCTGATCCGAATCACTGATCCACTGATTCAACCCGTTTTTTGGAGCGATCAATCCAATTCACCGATATGTTTTTTAACCTTGCTGAAAAGGGTTTTAAGTACCTTGTTGACATCAGTATTAGCCCAACGGTAGATGTGGTTCTAGGATGACACGAATGAGAGAAGTGGGACAAGTTAAAGCATAACCTCTTGTAGGATGGTCATGAGGAAAATTAGTCATTCCTATATTCTAGGATAGTGGCTTTTGAGGATAACTGTCTGAAAACCTTAGCATGTATCCTACAAAGCATTGAGCTGCTAGGAGCATTTGGTCTTTGTGAATCTTGAGATTTTGAGTTTGGTGGTGATCCATGAACATGCATATCCCTAAAAGAGGATTCTTGTGATGGAGAAACTAGACACTCATGTTTAGTACTTGGTCCTTTACCCATAAACTTATCTTTAGGGAGGTCACACAGAATCTATGGTCCATCTATGCCTTGACTAGTTTTGATAGGCCAATCATATATCTCATAAATAGGAGACATGAAGATCATCTTGATCTTCAGTGTGTTTGGTTGATAGGTTGTGGTCATATGATAGTCATGGAACATTTGGTGATATTGTTTCATTGCTAGCTCACTCTTCCAATGGTATTTCAAGTGACTTTTAGAAGTTTTTAATGAAAAATAAAATTGATCTTATTTTTCAATTCGGCCACCTATATTGGTATAATAATTTTTTATTTAAAATATGAGTACTTTTGGAAATTCTTGTTGTAAAATAAGAGTTTTCCTGGGATCATTTATTTGTTTAAATCAGAAACAAGTTGGATGCAATATGGGTAGTCATAATTTGGCATGTCCTTGTATCAAGGGGGCCCACACTTCTTTGATCCTTTGATTAAATGGACCCCATTGGCCATGGGAGCATGTGGCAATCAAAAAGAGAAAGGGGATCTACATGGGGCGCAGTAAACATCCCTAATGCGTGCATGATACTCCAAAATTGGTGTCATAATGCAAATAAGATTCCGAAGTTACCAGCTGGTTAGGCAGTTAAGATTTTGAAAAGTTAAAAGGGTAAAATATATTTGAACCTAGACAAAGAAGTCTAAATCAAATTGGAGCTACTTCCAAAGAATTCTATTAGAAATGAAATTTCCTAAAAATATTTTATTTGACTCTACCTTGAATTGCAATGTTGTTGGAACAAAGATTCCTCTTGAGAATAATTGTGGTATTTCCACCTTTGATCATGATTGTAGGGCAAGGATGCATAGAAGGCTATGTTACTTAGATTTATCTCTACTCCAAGTAGCCCACCCCTCTGCACAACACATGAAAGTTATAAGAGCCAAGAGAGAACATCTTATGAGGGAGCTCCAAGTACCCCACCCCTCTATACAACACATGAAAGTTCTAAGAGCCAAGAGAGAGCATCATATGAGGGAGCTTAAGGCTGGGTCACATTACGAGTGTCAATGGACCTGGACCCGACATGGAATTTGACGACCGACCCGACCCAACCAGGTATGGGTATGTGTTCAAAAAATCAACCGACAAGTCGGGTGCAGTTCAAAATATGGGACTCAAACACTATTCAAGTATGGGTCCGGGTCCATGTGGACATTGACCACGACCTCGATTCCCAGGACGTCCATGTTTCCAAAATCCATGTTCTTGTTCAAGTATGAGTATCATGTCTCTAGCTATCAGTCAATTTTTTTCCTAAATCAATGTTCTTATTTGAACTTTAAATCTTGTTTTTAGTTTACTCTGATTTTTGCTAATTTGTTTTTATTTTTTAACAATTTTTTTGCTTTTTTTATTTTTTAGTGGTCCCTTTTGGCCCATACACTGGAATCACCAAGTTACTTGACTCAAGCAGTGCCTAAGAGAGCTTGAGCCATGTTCCTGGCTCAAATTATCTTACCAATCAGAAACTCTTGACATTGTTGGCAACCACATTAATAGAGACACAGAATGGTGGTGTTGGTTGTGTTGTGAAGCTTGCTTCTTTTTAAAACTCGTTGCTTCCTTTCCCCATTCTTCTTCTTCTTCTTTTTCATAAATTAAACCAATCTCGTACATTAACATAGCTTCATCAAGTTTGGCATTTTTTGAACAAAATAGCCTTCATAATAGTTGTATTACCATAATGACTACTGTATTACGGTACTTTAGACCATGCTAAGCATTACGGTACTTTAAGTACCATAATGACCAAGC